GAAAAATAGTCCTTGTGAGGATTAATTGTACTACTAGAAATACATGCATGCAGCAATCCCTCGCCTCGGTTAAACAAAATTAGATAATGATTGTTAGAAACTTTATGTGGTTTCGGGGTTTTGGAAGGTACATGGTATGTGAGAAATAGAAATTGAGAAAAGTATGGAAATATTTTTCTGCACGTGGAAACACTGTAGTCATAGCAACTCACAACGGCCGTATATTTTTAAAAAAACAAAATTTACCCTCATATTTTTGTGAATAAATGGCAAAAATACGACAAGATTCGTACCATTTTCTGGAAGTTAAGTTACTCTTCAAATTCAGTGTTATGGTAAATTATTTTAATTATTAAATACCATGAAATATAACATCGGACGTCTCATACAACGCTTCCTCTGGTTTTTGTACGGGAATGTTTTGATTTTGTTTTCTTTTGTCATTTTGAAAAGGGAGTTTATAAATAAAATTATAAGTCGTTTATCACATAACACAATCAGATTTATAGTGAAATACATTTGAGAATATTAAAACTGTGTTTGCCACAAAAAAATTACTTTTTAAAGCTGTGCCAGATGAAATATTATCAAGTGTAAAATCTTCCGACTTCATCATACATGGTGAATTCGGTCTTGTTATTTGTTAAACCGTGAAAATTCCTGACCTGATTTGAGTTTCCCTCTAATTTCGTAAAATATATATTCCATATTTATAAAAATAAGAAATTTTTAAATTATCAAAATTTTGCTAAATGACAGTTATTCATTGACGTTTGAAAATACAAATTTTTGTCTCGACCAATCAAGAGCTTAGTAGTTCACACTAGCGTATGCGCAAAACGTAGAAGACCGTCCATTGCGTGAGGTCCATTGCGTAATGGCGGACGACTTTGATTTCGCGTTTGCATATCGTGGGTGTAAATATCCGAGCGGAATTAGTACCCTCGCACGGTGCTCCGCACCGGCTCGTGGAAAATGTTACAAGATTTGATAGCTGCATTAGATTCAGATTATAGCGTTACCGTAAAGGTGAGTGCATTTGCGTAAGGCGACACGTTCACCAGGGGGACAACAATCAAACCGTTTGCCACAGTATACCACCTGCGGAATATTCTTCTTGATGTGCGAACACTGTGCTGACGTTCAGACACGTCAACTCGGACTGTCCCATCAGTTACAGGTGTCCCATCAAGGTATTTAATCTGGACCTTAAAAAAAAACATTTCTTCAGTTATTCTCCCAGTTAAGTGCACACCGTTGTTACGCATGTCCGAGCCGTAAAAAGATTTAATGTATAGCTATAATAATGCAAAGAAGGAAGAAAACGCAAGGAAATTAATTTAAAAAGAATGATGATCGTGAAAAAGGCAATAATGACTCTTCGTCGTCTTCTTAATCTTCTTCTCATTCCATAACTGCCGACTCAGAGCTCATCACTGGGGTCGTAATTACATGGTGTCAGGTGTGGGATACCTCAAACACTAATAAAATGTTTAAAACGAATCCGCGGGAGAACTTTTAGTTCCCAGAGCCTTTGTTGTGGCCCGAATGGAAAGAACGATTTGAGCAGTACAAAAGCGCGGCGAAATTGAACAAAAAAGACCATGAAATTCAAATAAGTACTTTAATTGACTCTATGCGCAGAGAAGCAGAACACATCCACAGATCGTTTGCTTCTGAAGACGTTAAAGAGAAATATATTAGGACAGTTTTGGAGAGATTTAACGCCTTTTTTGCCCCTAAACGAAACGTTATTCACGAGCGAGCTGGATTTCATTAACGTCGACAACATGCAGGGGAAATCGTCGAAGCGTTCATCCATAGCCAGTATGGATCAGCAGAGAGACATGATTTTGCTGATTCAAGGGACGAGCATGCCGGGACTACCGCCATCCTTCGCAGTCCTGGGGGTACATTAGTTGTGTGGGCGAGTTCACTGCAAATGTGTCATACATAGCGACGGACTATTTATACGCGTAATTATAGAATAATTATCTTTGATACAACGGTCTAGGCTTAAGTTAAATAAGTGGAAATTCGAATTCCGGAAGGAAAAGATAAGGATATTTGGCCATCAGGTGCGCAAAGAGGGCATTAAACCTGATCCTGATAAAGTTAAAGCGATAGTGGAGTTATCACCCCCAAGTTACCAACCTTAAAGCATGCATTAATTCACCACCAAACACCAAGTATTTATACATGGCTTTTATACTCTGAATTATAGCTAGTTATCATTTTATATACACAATTATCTCGTATTACGCAAATTCATCACTGCAGATATTCGAAAGATAGAAACGAAAACATGATAGGCTAGTTTTTATCGCCATACAAAAATTGTATGATTTACTGTAGTATTTTATAATTTTTTTTATTCCCCAATCGGTCAAAGTTGAATTCGAATTTTTTTGTAGACCTTGTATAGCAGTACTGTTTAATGAACTTTTAAAATGTCCACACGTGAAGACAATTTCTAATTGCTTTAATTTGACATATACAATGCAACGTTTGAGGTTACGCATTGTAGAAACGTATCGAAAATGTATATAACAGAAAGAGCGCAAGTTCATTCCCAAGTGAATGCAGAATGTCGAACAAAGGTTTATCTTAGAACAAAATCAACATACCTTAAATTTTATTGGAAAACCAGGTTTGAATTTCTGAGGAACATCAATTAGTGACATGGCTTTAGACTTCAACACCAAATTAGGACTTCGGGCTGTTTCTTTTATTTTAACCCCAGTAGAGGTTTCGGTAAACATGGCATTAATATGTAAATGATATCCAAGAGGTGTTTGTAAATCGATTAGTTCTTTAGCATCAATATGAACACATCCTGTTACCTTAAAAAGAAAACACATAATTATTAGCTCCCGGCTACAGCCACAGCTAAGGCTACGAAAGCCTTAAATATACATATAGTAGAAATAGTAAAACGAAATAAATATAATTGGCGAAACCTGCTTATTTTAGAAAGATGTTCCTTTGACAAATTTCGAAATTTAGTTTCGTAATCAGAGTATAGTTTCACTAATCGCTATATATGCACCTACAAACGTTTTCAAATTTCACTAAAGTGCATCCTAGATGGTAAGCATGCAGGGAAGCCAATAAGTAAGGAAGTGGGGAGAGTGACAAATTATATGTTTGACTTTTAAACAACCGCATATGCCACCAAAGCTTCAGAAGAATGATTATTACATTAAAGTAGTTATAAAAGTTAAATTACATAAACTAACTATTGCATGTTTGCTATTTTGTGCCGTTTTTGCGAAGGTTTAACGGTCTCCTATTTTTTTCCATTCGGTCACGATGGTCATTGTTTCGTAACTTACAGAAGGCGTCACTGCAATAGTGTTCGTATTCAAATGCGAAAAAATTGTAGTAAGGCTTTTGTCACTAACTAGTGGCCATGATTGAGAGAATGCGCTCCAAAGAGGCATTTTTATATACATGCAGTAAGGGAACAAATATAATTGTATAAAGAGTAAATGTACAATTTTATAACACCACGAAATAAGTGCGGTGTTAATCAACCTATGCAATGCAACATGTTTGAGCTTTTAGCGTCATCCTTTGCTACATGTACGTACATTTTTGGTTTCTTTCAAACAATTTCGTTCCACTTTGTTGCTTTTGAGACACAATGTTGTTTCCAGTCGACCAGTAACAAATTTCCCGTAAGTGTACCTGTATTAATTAAACGTCAAAAGATACAATGAAACTTTTAAATTGAGCTTCCTTGCAAAAATTAAAAATTGACTGGTGTCTGTCGACGTTGTGGAATTATATGAAAAGTAAAATACAAACAAAGAGGACAGGAAACAGTATTCTCGCGAGTTATATAGCCACGAATGAATTACGAAAATGTTGGCTTAATGAAGGTAGTTATCACGGTAGGGTTCCATTTATACGGGGTTGTTAGTGGAGAAATCTATGAAAAATCAGAAGCATTTAATATCAACTACTTTAATTTGCTATTTTTACTAGCATTAAACTTTATTGTGAGTCATGTGAAGGAAATTCTTTGCTGACATTAAAGAAATTTGAATTTTTCACTGTGGATCACTGTTTTGTCATGGCGGGCTTTGCCGCAAAATGTTGATCTTATAACTTATAAGGCTTTTAATAATTTTATAAATATTGATGTCGTCAAAGAAAATGATAATAGTCCTTATTGTATTCCGAAATAAGAGTGAGAAATCCGTAATCATGGGCGGCTTTCGTTGGTGTTCGCTCCGTATGATCTGGACTCGCATGTGTCAAGGATGAGTTTCTTCCATGAACGCGCTTGGGAATGTGGCGTGATGTGATTTACTTCATTTATTTGAAAATGTAAACAAAAAGTTTGTTTACATTACGATTTGACATCATCTTTAAGATTGTGATTCAATTTGAATTTATTTTTTTAGTGATACAACATCAGCAATGTATGATGGTGCTATTAAATGTCTCGACAAAGAGAAAACTACGAAATGTCATATTAAAAAATAATTGGCTTAAAAAATTCAAAATTAATATAATTATAAAAATTTCGGCTGTTGAAAATAAACTCCCTGTCAATCATGAACAAGATTAGATTAATATCGCAACATAACGAAGCTAGTAGAACATGGGCGGGAAGCGATTTGCAAAATAGTACAGGAGGCTAAAGAATGGGTACGGGAGGCGGGTGTTGTTGATCCCCTGTCCCCCAGATGGTTCATTTATTGAAGTTCATTAATTCGCTATGTTTGTTGCTCAGGCTTATACCAGCTTTGCTATAATATTTTGACATTGAATTTCTAAGGACGTGAATCATAGCTGGATTTACATAGCGGGGCAAAATCGTAAGGCTGATTGCGCCACTGTGTGTCCCCGATTTACTAGTGATGGTGATGGTGCAAAAAAATTCTAAAGCTACTGCAATATTTGAACGTCAGAACCTACACACCATAAGTGTTTTCTATAATAAGTATACAATCCTAACCCAAAGTTACCTCGCACATATTGTAAAAATAATTTCCCGTTGATCCAATGCAAAGTATGCTGGTGGCTTTATGTCCAGTTCAAATTTAGGAAGAACTAAGTAAAGTAAAGCAAAATTCTTGTGGGCTTATAATAATGGATTTATATATTATTTTGGAATATTTTGCAGCTACTACAAGCGAAGTGTCGAATCCAGTGGGGATATAGCAGGGTGCAGAATAAATTAATACGGCTTAAAATTCGAATCGCATTGGTAGACTGTAATGTAAAAATATTATTTTCAAATCTATAACTAATAGCGTTGTTGTTAAGGTGTTTAAAATTTAAAATTAAGCTATGTAATTTATTCTGCACACCCATAGATCCGTCACTGGTCGAATCGTTATTCACTGATTTCAGAAGTAAACTTACCATACTTGTCAATTTCGATAGCTTTTGTCACCGTCTTTCGCTAAATACCAAAATTCATTTTTTAAAATATATCACTCGGATCATCAAATATCATGGTTTAAACATGAAAGCTGCCTGCTCTTACGGAAATAATGTTGGTACAACTTTTGAAGCAATTACAGCACAGTCCAGAAATAACCCAACAAAAACCGCGGTTAACCTACAGGTCAAACCTAGTTTCAACCGAGGTCGAACAGCGGTGAGAAAAGTTGGTCTCACTGAGTCACTGACTCTGACAGAAAAAGTACTCCTTACTAAAATCAAGCCGGGTTTTGTTACAATACCTTATCATAATACCAAACTTACGGATGCTTAAAATGTAAGACGATTTGAATGCCTGATTTTGAATGCCTTTATACCTAACTACACATATACTATGCTATTTACCAGTGCTAATCATATATTCAAGATTAATTTCAATACGGGGTACTTTTTTGATAATTTTTTATAGCCTAATTAAGACTTTATTTCCCTTTGTGCAATGGGTTTCCCAAAAACTCTTTTTTTTATTAAATGGTAATTAACGTCAACATGAAAAAGTTACAATTAGCCGTATTCGCTTGGAGAACGTATGTGCATGGGTACGTTTGATTACATTTAACGTTTCACATGTCTCTAAGACATATTCATTAGGGAAGCGATGCCACTTGCTATTCATAATTCTATACTACGGCAATAAAATTATATATATCGACGCACATATACATCAGGGGCCGGTTGTTCGAAAGATGGATAACTTATCCAACGGATAAGTCCTATCCCACGGATAAATCTGCTATCCAGTGGATAGTTATCCATTGGATAAAAACGCGTTGCACGAAGCGTGGATAGTGAAGTGGATAGCTATCCAAAAGATAAGTTAAAATTTACCGGAAGAAAACAGGATTATTCTGAAATTTCGTACCACAACGTCAGGTGTTGCTAAGCATTTACAACATTGAATTCATATTCATTACGAATTCTCGAGTATAGTTGCTGAATGGAAAAGACTTGAACAAGTGATTTGCTCGAACTTTGCACTTCACATCATAGTGATTTTATTAATTAAACACATTGCAATTTTATTCCTTGACTTTGCAACGCTTTGCCTATCGGTTCCATAGCAAATTTAGGAACACTATTTTAATGTTCGTGAATGAAATTACTTAGATTTTAGCAATTTTCTTTGGAATAGGTTGACTCTTTCTTTGCATATTCGCGTTTATAAACTGATTAGAAGCGTATAGTAAATTTACCGCCTGACATAAATGCGAGGATCTCCAAAAAATCGCTGCTCGGAACGGAATGTGTAGGCAACGTGAAACGCTCCTGCGACAAATTGCACTTCGAAAACATTTCTAATAGTGAATACAATCATGATGTGTATTAGTTTGTTGAAACACAGTAACAGGAATATGGCATTTTTGTCCTATTTTATATAAATGTTTACAGTGTTACCTTGTATCTTTGAATTTATCCACTGGATAGTGGATTTAAACCACCTCCGGACCTTGGATAAATTTATCCGGTAGATAGCGATTTTTATCCGCTGGATAAAGTTATCCAAGCTTCGTGGAACGCAAATCACACGCTGGATAAAACTTATCCGTTGGATAGCGACTTATCCGTTGGATAGCGACTTATCCACCTTTCGAACAACCGGCCCCAGTAGTACAAGCTAATAGATACCTCAAAGGTTACTTTGATAAGCCATTTACCCAGAACTGGCTCTTTTGACAGCTGAAGTTCCAAACTTCCGACACCTAACAATTTTAATGATTTTTGTGATATCATTATAGTCGCATTTCTTGATCAAAATAATTATGATTTCATTACCATTTCATTGCAACAAGTACAAAAATAGTTTTACCGTCTTGTAGTTGAACATCGGTCCATTGCATAATCTTCGAACCACTTGGTTCCTATGTGACAAGTAACAAAGAGAATATTTTTTTTTGACTGTATTTCTAAGTTGACGTAATAAATTTCTGGCACTTTACAGTCGATTAACGCTGCCTTCACTGTCTTCAGCTGCATAAGAATCTTTGAATAACATTCCAAATTTTTGCCCAAGGTTTTCCTCTCATCGCCGCTATTAATGTGTTTTGTAAAACTAATATTATATTACTAGACCAGGTAAGGTCGTTATATAACAATTCACATATGCTAAGCATCGATGAGGTAAAAAAGTAGGTTTACATACCTGAATTATCACCGAAGAAACCTATTATGGCGAAAGAATAGAAACTGTTGGTTCGTGTTGTGAATCTATTACTTCAATTTCGAAATTTTATTGGATGAAAGGGAGTTATTGAGATGGAAATTTTATATTTATTTATTGAAAGCTTTCGTATGCATTTTCTGTGATGATTACAGATTTCGAAAATTAGTGTTTTAGTTTTAATATTTCTTATCCGTATGGAAAATGTTAATTATATTAATTACGATTGCGTCGAATACCTTCGGTCCACCGGGCCTCAGTTCAGCGTCCAAACATATAATCCGAATCAACACTAAAGAAAGAACGCTTAAATGATAAGATTACTTTTCGTTTCTTTTTTTCTTCCTAAATATCACCTCTAAGCTAATTGTATGAATTTTACTGATTGTATTTACTCCAACAAGAAAAATGGATGAACGGCTAAAATGAAATGCGAATGAAAAACGGCTACGAAGGCTGAAACGATAATTCTGATAATATATGCAGCGAGATTCTTCTTCTTCAGTAGCCTTTGAACTGTAGGATACCAAGGGGGATGTTGTTGTCGAAAGGAGGATAAAGTTATACAACTTTTTTTCAACGATCGTGATATTCATTTCAATTTTAAAATTTTAATGTTCAATTTTGGCCATGCATAAGGAGTTAAAGAATCTATACACACAGGGGTAGATATGGCGGGGACCGGTGGGCTCAGCGATCCCTGAAAGTGCCAGTTATCTCAAGTCACACTTCTCTCTCCACCCCCCCCTCTTCCCTTCCCAAATGAGTAATGTCCATGCTCGCGATTATTCTATCCATACTTAGGGGCAAGGCAAGCTAGTTCAAAACATCAGTGTTTTGGGGATAAATCAGCAAGAATGCTGACAAACCTTTTTGTCCAGGTTTATAAATTGGTTTATCGGTTTGAATGAAGACTTTCTTTTGCGGAGAGGCTTTGTACGAAACTGCTTTTCTCATTGTTCTAACTCCACACACTGTAGCTTCAACCTTCGCAAGAGATAATCCTTTAGCAACCTGAAAAAAAAATCGGTGTCAAAATGACGATTGCGATTGCTGGAGTATTTGGAAAACATTTCGCTCGATCTTTTTTTGCAGTGGCGTATGAAGCACAATAATCGGAGTTGGGTGGGGGCATATTCATATATTCGTGTTCTGTCTGATTATCATTACAAGCAGTTAAGAAGCGGCCTATTTTTTAGACTTCATTTAATCTTCCTTCATTTAAATTTCACCACGGACATATATCAGTTTGGTTAAATTTGTTTTTTTGAGGATTAGAATTTCGGCGACTATATATTGCTAACCTGAAGCTCCAGTGTTCCAGCTTCATTTGGTTTAAAATGACTTCTAGCGCGGCTCCTGACGACATTAAATCTTGAACCATACAGTCTGACCTCCACATCACAGGATACAGTACCAAAAATATTTATTCCCAGCTTGACATTTTCACCAGCACGGAAAACTCTGGGAATTGTGATCAAATAATCACCATTACCTAACGCACCACTTCTGTAAAATAATAAATATTATATTGAGTCAAGCTGTTCGTCCCTGCCCAAGATACAATTTCAGACCCCGTATCCGGACAAATTTGAAAAGGGCTAAATATTTTTGCGTTTTCTAAAAAAATCTGCATTCTCGTTTCTGAATCGTTTTTTGACGCCCACACGAAAACACGAAAACGATTTGAGACATTTGTTCCCTCGTTTTTTAAAACACGTGGAGGTAACCCGTACCAAAAAGATATTAATATTATCCGCTTTCAAATTTCTCCAGATTCGTATGGACTGTAAGAGGCGGATTCTGCCGCGTTCTTAAAAGTGCTAGTCAGCTATGTCTTCAATTTTTGATCACGCTTATAAACCATTTATGTAAATTTTAAAAATACTGACTCATTATCTTAAAAACTTACTGGCGACATCAATTTTTAATAGACACCTGTCAATCATGTAAATTTCAAGATTGCAGAGAAATCCATTTCCTATTGACTCCTGTCAATCAATGCAGATGCAGCAAGAGTGAATCATATGAACGGCGCATTTCTAAAATCATTAATTTTTGCTGACTTTTTGTTTAAGCGCTGGTCTTTAGCATCATGTTTGATATCTTTATTGGATAAAATAAGAACTCCTTTTCCACAGGAATTGGCCTATGGGTTTGGGGAAAAACTTTTTGGCTAAAAATTTTTCACCTTGAGATATTATATTGTTTTTATTGGGTTTCTGTTTGAAAACTCGTGTGGTGAGATTGGTCTTCAACTTGGTCAAAGAACAAGAAAGTTGGTAAGTAATGATAAGGGAGTTTTGCAAAGCTCTGATAATCATCATAGTGACTTGGTGAGTGTTTGACCTTCTGGAGATAATTTAAAAAAAACTTTTTGAAAACTAAATGGATCAAAATGATTTTGAGAGAGAACATTACTATCATCTTCTTTCTGTCAACCAAATCCGCACAAAGATTTAGGAGATCGAGAAAAAGCAAGGACTTGATGAGTTGATGTCTCCAAAAGAGAGGTTCAAAAAACTTTCCAACACCATAAAAAGGTAAAAAGAGGAAAAAGGTTTCGTAAGACATTTGTCAATGATCTCAGTGAGGCGGTTGAAATCGACCTCACTGACATGCAAAAATACAAAGACAAAAATAATGGTCAAGCGTGGATTCTTTCTGCGATTGGAATTTTATCTCGTTTTGCTTTTACCGTTCCATTCAAATGAAAGGAAAGATCCAACACTTGGTTTGCTTTGATAAAGGTCTTTGATGAGTTTAAAAAAAAATATTTCGGACACTTCCAAAGCTTGTTCAAGCTGATCAGGGTAAGGAGTTTGAAAATCGTTTGGTTGAAGACTGCTTTGAGACAAAAAAATCAACTTTTTTCACAACCTTTTCAGATAAAACAGCGGCTATTGTTTACAGACTTAATCGAACCCGTTGGTCATGCGAAAATAAATTACTCAAATTCAATGCGACCCAAAAAGAAGGAAATAAATCACCACAGCTAAAAAGAGCATTCGTACGCGTAATCAGTATAATTGCCAAGTTAAACTGAAAAATGTCAAGTATTTCGGAGAATATAGGAATAGGAAGTAGCCAATTTTGAATACTTTTTTACTATGGCCGAAAGCGTTTTACTAATGAGGTTACATACTTCCGGCCTTAGTAAAAAAGTATACAAAATTTCCAACTTCGCATGGCTGTATTTTCTGTTTTTTACAATATTTTGGAGCCAAACTTGGTAATTTTGCTTAATTCAGTATGCAATTTTTGAAAATCTCCTTTTTGTTGCTTAAATCAAAAGTTAATCCATTGTGAAAATTCCCATTAACAGATGCCTTTATGAGACCATAAAAGTAGACCAAGAGACGAAAATGAAAGCTTGGAATAACTTATTTGGAGACTGGTCGGGAAAGATCCTTGACTTCAGCTAATGTTTCTCACCTCAATCATTTATTGAATATACACGTCGATATATATAAGCGCCTATCCGACAGACTCTCCTTTATTCCCAAGCAATGAGAATTTTAGTGAGTTGTGGAACCGGTCATACCTAATTTTAGTGTGCATTGATAACCAATTTGTGTAGTGATAAAGGAAGAATGAGCAGTGATAAAATGAGAAATGTGCAGAAAACTTTAAAAACAAGGTTTATTGACAAATCTGGAAATAAATGACAGGTGATTACCTAGACAGTTTGAAACTCATTTCAGGTGATTATGAATGGACTATAGAGTTGAAAAAGGCTTTATACTGACGAGAAAGAAAGTTAAAGATGAAAAGTCTTTATCACAAACCCTAAAAATGAATTAGTGAAGACGTTTAAAAAGCAATCAAAAAGAGGAATCGATGATGAGAGAAACAAACCTTTAAGTGAGTTGGCTACGCAGGACAAACAAGCGAGAAAAAACCAACAAGACGAATTTATTAAAGCTCAACCTGGAGGCTTCGAGTCAGCTTTGCCAAAAATGTGGGACATTGGGTATGAGTTGGCCACAAGAGTGCAAAAAACAGATGATGATCTTTTATGGGATTTTTAAAGCTTTAACATTTTTGTTAATGAGTATTTGATATCCGAATTTAAAACACTTGACTTTTCATGGAAAAAGTTTGACTTATCGGTACGTCCTTTATTGAAAAGGAAGATTCCCTTCGGAAAATGACAACTTTGAGACAAACCCAAAAATTTTGAAAAGCCTCGCCGAGTTTCATCTTGTTTATTGGAGAAAAAGACTCCAAAAATAACACAAAAACTTGAGAAATACATCGCAGAAAATGATAAAATAATGCTCCTGGATCATTAAAATTAACACATATTTGGAAAAGTAACTTTTTATTTACGAAAGAACAATTTGGCCTTGCTATAAAAGAACTCAATAAAAAAAAATATGAAAATGGAAATTTTAGAAAACCAAAGACAAGTATATGAGTAAATTTGGTGGGTTGATTGAGATATCCAAGACACTAATGTTACTTTAAATATCGCTATTAGTCCTGCATTGATTATCCTACCGAGTAACATTGTAACCCTTAAACAAAAAATTCCAGGCTATAATAATGTCTTAGCTATAGCGGCTAAAAAGCTGATCAGCTTTGGAAGAAATTTGTCTTTTAATAAAGCAGTTGAGAACTAAAAAATGTCTTTAGTATAAAAAGCTCAGGCTGATTACAAAAAAACTTATTTTTGAAAATGCGGAGTAAGTCGGTTCTTTGCTAGAAAAAATCTAGAGCCTAGCGTGACAATGTACAAAGATTTTTTTTACTCTATAATTAATACAACTTTTTTGCCATCTAGTCACTTGGAATTAAATAAACATTAACTTAACATAAACTTATAATATTGAACAAAGGCTATCAAGTGCATTTTGCATTACGTACAAAATTAATATTGTTGTAAAAATTGCACATCGCGGGAATTTGTTTCCTATCCGATCGGTAACTCCAGTCGTAATTCGTAAAATAGTCAACCTGGTTGAATTTAAAATTAATGCCATTATGATTCCA